GAAATGATGATGAATTTCCTGATTTAATCTTAGTTATGAAATTTTGCAAGTAAGTCTCAAATCTTGGTACAAATACCAGAATATACTCTGTAACTCCCATTTAGTTTCCTTGTCTTAATTCTTTTAAAATTCAATCTACCTAGATGGCCAGATAGTTACTAAAAGGGTATGCTATGTGACGGAAAGGAGAGGAGTAAAGAAATTAAAGGTCCAGAAAACCATATTTGATATAAAATGTCCATTCTACTTTTCTGGGGAGAAAACTATTCCAAATAAACCTATTTATTCATTTTATGAAACAGTCACAGCTCAATTGTATGTCAGTTTTATATAAGGATGAACACATGTTTTGCATTTTTAAAAAAGTTATTTATCCACCTGTTCCTCGCACTGTTTACCTACATAATTCTATTTCACTTGCCAATCCTAGAGGCTGGCTATACACAGTCTAATAAACATACAACCACTATTACAAGAATCATAAAATTGGCCAAAATGTAGTGTTTTAGATAGGATATTGCTGCAAATGAAAATTCAGAAATAATTTAGTTCTCTTTCCTCAGTTAACGCTATTTAGAAATTGATATTTTCCCATATCTGTTCTAAATGTAATCTCTTTAAAACATTCTTCACATTAAAAGTTCAGAAATTTTCAGGAAAGGTCAGCTTCCTATCTTTTCCTCTGGCAATGAAGGATTTTTCTTATTCTCATTAGTTTCTATTATCTAATTCCTTACTATATTATCTTCTCACAGTTTGTTACTCTAGGCTTTATAGCTCAGTATATAATCAGCTGAAGTAGAGAGTGATACTGAGAACAGAATAAAAATGAGCTAATTATGAAACTTGATTCTGGAACAACTGACATTCATCGTTCCATCCAAATATCAATTCAATATGTACAAAAAATATATAATTTCCACAAAATAGATTCCTGGGAATACTTTACTACTGCTGCTTATCATCCATACTGCAGAGTAGTTTGTTCCCTTCAGAATTTATTTCCATGTTTTAAAGTACTGTTTATTTTTAACAACATGATTACTTCCTTCTATAATTTCTTTCCATTTGGCTCCATAACTTCCAACCCTTCAGCTTCCTAAGCCAAGAGACTACTGGCACAAAGACTAGTTTGTCAACAGAATTATGATGGTTTTCAGGATTCAATGCTCCATTGTGTTCGGCACATAATGCAGTAACATCTCATTTAGAAAATAGATAATGATATGAATATACTTTGTGGCTTACTTTGCGGTAAGCAAAGTAATTGTTGCACCCAATCATTGCATTAAATTTTTACAAGTAATTCTTGAATTACAAAGGTCATTGAGAAAGGGAATGTTCTTGCTAAGTGATGGAGTCATAAAGCATGTTTTCATGTGAAATCACTAAATTACAACAATCCAGGTTGTCCTGGTTGTTGCCATAATCCCAAGACTTGTGTGACATTAAGTGAGAGAGAATCCCAGGTAAAGAATTGCTCAGGGGATTGTGGGTGAAAACCAGTCAGATGTTTAAAGCAAAAATCATGGGGTACTTCATCTTCACCTGGTGTGATCAATTCTTTATCTTTCTTGCTCTTTTCTGCACCATTTCTACTGTTACTATAAGTTACTTCATTTTAGCTTGCTTTTTTTTTTTTAGCTTCTGTCTCCACCTCCTTTATCCAAACTGAATTCTTATATTTGACAGGTGGGACAATTTTTCCGTAGCTGTGCCCAGAAATACACTGTTTTTTTTTTCTTTATCAATTGTTGACTGGAAACTAGAGATCCTTCCTATAGTGTGTATGTCACTTGATTTTCTTGACTATAGTTGTTATATTCTGCTTTATTAATTCCACTGCTTTCTTGATCTTCCTTGTCTCTAGGTGATATTTCTTGATCAGATATTCTTTGTTCTTCTTGCTTTTCAGCTTCATTTCTTCCATTTGTTCTACCTTGTTTGCATCTGATTTTAGCAAGCTGATGTTATTTTCCAGCCTAATTTCCATTTCATTTTTACTTTTTTTTCTTGCTTCTTGATTTTACATTCAAGATCTTCAGTTATAACTGTAGCTATACATAAGTTGGTTTGTTTCTTGTACTGAGCTGGTGTTTTAATATTGCAATGCTGACATACTTGTGGTAGCTGGTTTCATTACAGGCAACATTATTCTGGTTTTTTGTTTTGTTTTGTTTTTTTGTATTGTCCTAGATGCTCGGTTGCTCGGTTACTCTTTGTTTCAGTTCCTCTTCTTTTTTTAATTAGAGAACTTTGCTGTTGACTGAGAATTTTGTCTCTATGCAGATTTTCTAAGTGCCATCCAAGATTATTTTGATATGGCATCCAGCGTGCCACAGCCAGTTTATCCATAATTTTGTCTTCTCAACCACAGTTAAATCTGGTGGGTTATAAACCAACACTTTATCCATTTGTATTTGTATTGTATTTTAACTTGCTCATTCTCAACTACTTTTTTAGTTCTATGTTCCCGTTGATTTTTCATTACTGGCTCATGATAATTTTTACAGATATTCCAGTAAATCATTTTGGTGGCTGTATTATATTGTTATTTATAACCAATTTATGTCTAGTTTAATGAAAAGAAGGACTAGGGGTGACATGATAGCAGTGTTTCGATATCTTAAGGGTTGCCACAAAAAAGTGGAAATTAAGTTATTCTCCAAAGCACCAGGGCAGGCAGGGCAAGAAGCAATGGATGGAAACTAATCAAGAAGAGAAACAACCTAGAACTAAGGAGAAATTTCCTGACAGTTGGAAGAATTAATCAGTGGGACCTTGCCTCCAGAAATTGTGAATGCTCCAACACAGGAACTTTTTAAGAAGAGATTGGACAACCATTTGTCTGAAATGGTACATGATTTCTTTCCTGAGCAGGGGGTTGGACCAGAAGACCTCCAAGGTCCTTCCAACTTTGTTATTTTAGTCTCTTAACTTCCCAAGATATTATATTTTACTTTTCTATGGTGCTTTCTTTTAATGAAACATTCTCCATTCCATGCAGTAAATTAGGAGATGTTGGAAAGTATATCTGGATGCAATTCTGAATTATAGTGGTCTTAATGGGATATGCATTAATGTACTTTCCAGTATGCATTCTGGCATAACTAACAGTTAGATCATAACTTTCGAATCAGGGCATTGGCTCAGAAATGCTATCACAGAGCCAAATCCAGGAGGCTCATAAGCATCATTTCTCGCTTCCATAATTACTAATTGTGGTAATGAAAGGAAAAGAATATTCAAATTTTAAAATGTGACTGAAGTGGCAGTAGATCAACATGAACAAGCTTAACTGTTGAATAGTTAGGTGCATGTTTTGGCATTTCTCAAATATGTTAGTTAGAGGCTGAGGATTCAACATTGTTGATCTGGTGTATAGTCACATGAAAATGTAAATTGTCTTTTCCTCCGCAAGCCTTGAGGGAACCTTTTATGATAATTTATTTTGTGGAATGAATACACAGCCTGGGTAAGCTCTGACTTAGCATTTACATCTTAAATAATGCTGCCTCCGTTATATCAGATGCTGCATATTCATTTTATGTTTTCACTAAGCAGTTAAAGTAAATGGTTGTATGGATTAGTGCAGCTAGACCGAGTCAGCTTCTGATGTGTTATTGAAATATTGCTTGCCTGAGCAATTTGCAGTCAGAGGGCAAGAATAATTCTAATGAGGTCAATTAGCATTTGGAGTTCTTTTTAAGTAGCTTTAATTAAGCACAACCTTACAGCAAGGACATGTGTGACTTCCCCTCCCCAGTCTCTTTGTTAATATGATCTCTGGGAGAACTACTGGAGTGAGAATTTTTCCCTCCCAATTGTTTTGTAAAAGATGTAGCTGAGCTTCGTAGTCTGCTCTTTTAAACAAAGAACATAACAAAAGGACAATAGCATTTTACTATGAGCCTTTACATTTAGAAGGATGGTCAGCAGACCATGCCATCAATCTGACACATGCAAAACTATATTAATGTGAATTCAAATTGATGCTTTTTGTTTTGTCCTTTTTCGTGTGTGTGTGTGTGTGTGTGTGTGTGTGTGTGTGAGAGAGAGAGAGAGAGAGAGAGAGAGAGAGAGAGAGAGAGAGAGACAGAGAGTTTGTGTGCGTACATGCACATTTATGTATTTCTATATTTCTTTTGTGTTGCAATGCTCCATTTTGCTTCTTTAATATTCTCACTGAATAAAATGATGGGGAGGAATCATGACTAACAAATTTATTTAGCGATCAATTCCAACCAAAGGCCATAGGAAGAACCATATAATTGGAAGGAAGGAGATCAGATTCAGCTCCATGTTCCAAATCAAAGCATCTCCAACAGATTATCCAGCCTTTATAGCAATATATGCTGAAGGAGAATCTGTGTATGAAGTTGAGGCAAGCATGGGATGGGAATGGAAGAAATAGCAGGCAAGTCAGTGGACAGTTTATCTCATAAGTAGCTATGCTGGTCTTAAATTGTAATAAAGAGTTGAGTTAGTTGATAAATAGCAACACAGTTCAGGTAGGGGAAAATCTGAAGGAAAAAACCCATCTTAATATTTTAAAAAAGACTCCCTCTTAATTAACACACTATTAATAAGAGTGGTAAATTCCTATTAGTTTCCAAGTATTAAAGAATCTATGTTGTTTTTGCTTCTTTAATCCTGCCCTGCCATATAAAGCTTGGAAACGTATTGAATAATTCATTCTACTATCAAACTGGCAATTTGAATCACCAACAGTATAGGTTGTGCACAATTATGGAGACTGACCCAAAGGGACCTTGTGAACTTTTTTGGCGGAAGATCCTAGTCCAAACCCTTAAATGTATAGTCTACTTTTTTTCCCCCACCTACACATTTTTATTGATTGAATTCATATTATAGTTTGCAATTAAATCTTTCTGAAATGTTTGAAGTCAGCTGTAGTAACTCAGATTGTTTTGTTTTTCTTTGTGCAAAGAAAAGCTATGAATATTCTTAACAGTTTATCAAATATAACTGATTTTCAGATACCTGGAAGGAAACCATTTATCTGCTGTGCCAAAGGAACTTTCTATGTTCCGACACTTAACATTAATGTAAGTATATCAACATTTCATGTCAGCAATAATATAAGAATACACAAATGTTGCAGCATAGGGTATTGCAGTTATAGCTTGATTGCCAGATACCTTCATACAATGTTTGAGGAAACACAAAAACATTGCTTGTATTGTGACATACATTTTTTTATGGGAATGCAGTATACACACAGACACAAAGACATGCACACACTTTTAAAAGAGATAATCAGTAAATTACTACTTTGAGATTTTTGAATACAGTTCTATTTTTTGGTACCAATCTTCTATTTATCACATATAAGTAGAAAGCAAGCATAACACCTCAATTTTGGTAGAAACAATCATTGATAGAGCTTGCTTATTTCTACTGTTCAATATTGTGTCCCATTCAAATATATATAACTTTATCTTAAATTCCAGTTTAGGTTTAAATTTTACAAAAAATAAGAAAATTCTTTAAATTATTTTATGAATGTCATTAAATAGGAGTTTAATACTAATTTATCTCATTAATTTAAAATGTTTTATATGGAAGCATTTTATTATTTTATAGCTGGGAGATTACCCTACCAAGCCCAAGTCAGTGTGCCAGTTAAAGAGACAGCATTTTCTTCATATAATTCTTTTCGTGTCTTTATATAATCAAGAGGGAATTGATTGCAAACTTAATTAATAGAAGTCTACTTTAAATACAAGGAGTTTGTAAAATGAGCCACAGCGATCATCTACTTACAAGCATAAATAGCATCTCTATTGTTTAGTGCCTTCCCTAGAAAAGTTTGTGAAGTATCTACCGGTACTTCTCACAATTTTTACTTCTGGTTTTATGCCCTGTTTGGTTCTAGATTGGAAAATGGCTTGATATTTATTATATATTTTTATATTATATTTTATGAATTATCCTGAAAGCTGCTTGCCTTAGTGTAATCAATGAATCTTAAGTAATATTTTAAAAAAATATGTAATTATAATCCCCAAGAATAATCTTAGTTGATAGTTTGCTTTGAAGTAACCTGTTTATGCTTTTGGTATTGCTCTGAATTTAAGACAAGTTCTGTTTTCATTGCATCAATGAATATTATGTGTATTTTTTTCAGTGACTTGAGCAACAATAGTATCAGCATGTTGGCCAATTACACCTTCAGTAATATGACACAGCTATCAACGCTGTAAGTACCCAGTGATTCTGCATAATTTCTAATTATTATTTATTGTAAAGTAAGTTCCATTAACTAGCAAGTATTTAATGTTCTATGTTAATATATTCCAGTCTGCTCCTGCTCCAGTTACTTGTTGCAAAGTAATATAAGATGTGGTCTTTTATTCCCCTAGGATCCTAAGCTACAACAGGTTACGGTGTATTCCAGTCCATGCATTTAATGGCCTTAAATCTCTCCGAGTGTTGTAAGTATTGCTCATTCACTGTTTAAAAAATGACAGCAAAATTTCTAAGGAGTAGGTGCTTTCCCCTGATGCTCTGTATTGCAGCCATTTCTAGTCATTTACACTTTTCTATTTGTATCAAGATGTAAAGTAGCCTATAAATGTGAATTTAGATGTTAACATTTTGTGAGTGATTCGATGCCTTAAGATGATTTTTCATTTTGGAATTCCTTCTTTTTTTTAAAGGCTGCTGTTAAAATATAGGCTAACCTATTTGACTAAGACATATTTTTGAAGGAAGACTTTTCCATTGTAACTTGGTCATTAATCACTTTGACATATTCTTGGATTTAATGTATTCATTCCATACTTCGAGCTAAAATTCTAATTGAGATTCTGTGCTAATTTAATCATATGCAAGACGTTGGGAAAAGTTTGATCTCTTCCATTTCTTTTTTACTTCTTCCATTTTTCGAACTTTTGTTTTTTTCTATAATCAAATGTGACTATAGGAGACATTTTGTTAAATGTTTCTTTTGGGGAATATTGAATGTAATGTAATTCTTTCAAGTGATTCATTTATAATTACTTTTTATACAATATCATAAGCATTACTTAGGATGAAGTCCATGTTTACTTCATCATTATAGGCAAAAACATAATGCTGAAGATCCATGTAAAAAAAACATTGGCTACCTCTATTTCTTTAGAAGATCTACTTAATAATATATTGAAATAGGTGTTTGTTCAGAGAAAATAACATGCCACTCTTATATTTCTGTGCAAAAGTTAAATGAAGCATGAATGAAACTCTCTCTTTCTGGGCTGTGTGTATTTGGAAGCCTCCAGTTTCATTTGATTTATTATGGTCTACAAAATTCTAGTGTCAGCGACAACCCTTGCCACATGTCATCTACGTTGTTATTAAAAATCAATTCTCCTGGGGGAGGAAGTGTTTCCAAGCGACAGCATGCAATCTGTTACTGTCATTTATTTATTATCAGAATTCCCAAGAGAACTTCAGTTAGAAATAATCAGCAAAAGCCTATCCAAGTTTTTGCACCTTTTTTTGGAAAGGACACATAGCTTGAAATCTGTCTAGGTTTGATGTGCAGTTAACAGATCTCTTTTATGCATGAGCCCCTTCTCTAATTGCTTTCCTTCCTGGGAAATTTTCCCTATTGCTATTAAATAGGAAAATTATCCTATCAGTCAGAATATGTCTCTAGCTACCAAACATAATAATCAGTGTCATAACATATGCCTTGTTTCAGTAACTTAAAATCTTAATTCCTCTTAGCGTATTTTTACACGCCATGTTTTAAGGTGATTTTTTCCATGCATAGATTAGGTTGGGGTTTTTTCTTTCAACCATGCACCATGCAGAAAATACATGTAAAACACATGTAAAATATACATACATTAATAATGATGAAATTGCTTCTATGTCCCTATTGAACACAAATTCTGTGATTCAGTGTGTGACAGTATTTTGCAGATTTGGTTCCCTTTCCAGTAGTTCAGGTTCAGTTCCCAAATTCAGCTTTTCAAGGATTTTACTATTTATTTTAGAATTTCATAAAAATTACAAAGCATATTTGCAGTTCAGCAGTTAGGAAGCTAATACAATATTAGTAAGAAAGGTGCTAGTATATTTTATTGTTTATATTCTAAACCCTCAGGAACCATTTTTGTTGAATCCAGCAGTTATACAGACACAATACATACAAATTTAAAAAATTAATCTCCTCCAGAGAGCCAAAATCACATAAGCACATAGGAAAAGATATGGTCAAAAAGCAACAAGCTTTGTAATTTTTACTATAATTTTTCTTACTATCATTTTCAGGTGCTAAAGCTGGACTTTGCACCAACTGTTGATTAGGGCAGATTCTACTCAGCATGGTGATAATTGGCTGAATAGAAATTCTGGAAAACATAATTTCAGTATATTTGGTAACGTCTGATAGCACTGTATTTATTAGATGGAATAGTAGATATTGGCAAAATGCTGTCACTAACAATTTTCTCTAATACATTTGTTTCAGAAAAAACAAAAGAATAAAAATGACTATTTCACTTGTCTAGATCAAGGATTGAATAAGTTTCCAGAATGAGTCACAATCATGATTCCCAAGACAATTGTTGTCATGTTGTCTAATTATTCTAAATTGCTTATTCAGATTCAATTATGTTCTTTTTTTTTTCTTTGAAAAAGTCACTGCTACTCTTTATTAAGGGAGCCATTTTGGTCTATTGATAAAGGTAGTACGATAGAATTGGTGTATCTGTATGTTCCAGTCCCACTTTAGGCATGAAACTAGTTCAGTGACCTCACTATCCCTAGGATAAGGCAATGGCAAACCATTTCCATTAACATTGACTCAAAGGCACACGCACACAAATTAAAAAGCTATAAATAAATAAACACACTACCCCTTTCTTATTAAAGAAAAATAGCAAAGAGTCTGTAATACTACCGTTTCCTATATTTCCATCTTTATGCAATGATAGGAGCATGGTGGCTTTCATGGTTATGCTGGATTGGATGTTAGCACGCCTCTGTTCGAAAGCCAAGTGCTGCCATGGGGTGGGGTGAGCTCTTGTCTTTTACTCCAGCTCTTTCCAGGGACATGAAAGGAGCCCCAAGTTGGCCGTTCTGGGCAACGGTGATATTACCAGCTAATCCTTTTATCCCAGAAGTACCTCGGTTGCATCACATCTCATTGCATCACATTGCACTCGTGTTAGAAGCACTTCGGTAGCATTACGATGCGATACAGTGCTTCCTTGTAAAATCTTTCTTGGACAAAATAGTGAAGAACATGAACTATATTGCTTATAGTTATTTAGTCAATAGGTATTAAAAGCTATCTTAAACTCTTTTTGTATCGTAACTATATTCAAACATAATATTACTTTTTCTTTTCCTAGAACGCTTCATGGCAATGATATATCCAGTGTCCCTGAAGGGTCTTTTAATGATCTTGTGTCACTTTCCCACCTGTAAGTATTGTTATCCTCAAGAGATTATTATCTCTGTACAAATGGGAGATTGCTATGTGAGTTTTGTATAGCTACCTCATGCCACAATTATCATTATATGTATTTTATTTAGATAAATTGTATTTTCCAAGCAAATGTGAAAAAAACCTTTACCTTTTGAAACCTTAATCATCAAAGAGAAAATAGATCATTTGTTAAGTCTACTTATCTCAAAATTAGACTCCAAAGCAAATTATCAGCAAAATATGAAAAACTTATTTTAACCTAAATGGTTAAAATGGTCCTATATGGATAAATGATCAAGCAGGCACATGCTATTGGTTCTTAATTTGCCAAGTAGTAGCATTATTGGTTCTTAACTTTCCAGAATATTTTTTCCCTGTTTAAATAGGATTGATTTCCACTTCTTCACTCCAAGGAGAATAGAATTGACATTGCTAGAAAAAAAAGAAAATAGAAAAAAAAGGACAAGTTAAAAGCCACGTAGGGACATATAGTTGCTGGAAAGATACCATCACGATTATGCTTTATGAGCCATGTTATATTATAGTTTCTTCACACCCCATTTAGATTCCTATATTTCCCATTTGCTGTATCAGGGTATTTTGGGAAGAATGGCATTCTGAGACAGTTTTCCAAATAATATAAGCCCAACAAGGAATTAGTGTTAGCCTATATTATATCTATTCACTTTTAACCCCATAGTGATCATGGAAAGGAATGAAAATACATGTTTAAATTTATAAATAGTTCATCCTTTTTTAAACTTGTGTTCATTGCTTAAATAGTATCTATTTTTTAAAATGAAAATATAAGTTATTTGTGCAGTACGATACTTACTAATAAACAACATCATAATGCTTTATCAAAGATCATGTTTGATGGCATTATTAAAGTCAAAATCATTTCCAGTTAGTTTAAATTCTACTAAAAATAAACATACTTTTTCACATTCACTTAAATAAACGTGATTGATATATGTTTGTGTTTACATATGTATACCTCTCTACTAGGTGAATTTATAACTACTGATTAAAATAATAGCCTGTAAAAAAAAAACACCCTATTTTATAAAATTAATTGATCCAATCAGCACATCCACCATTCTTTCTCAACACAAAAACTACTGTGTATGGAACACAAAAATACTACACACATCTACTGTTAACTCTTCTTTTAGAGAAACTACAAAAATAAAAATACAGGCTGGAGATACAATAAGAGGAAATATTAGGAAGAAGGAACAAAGCAAAACAGCACTGAATAAAATAAGATGAGAGACACAGGTAGCAGGACAGGAAAGGAATGGAAAGAGACCAGGCCAGTAGCTATTCCCTAGTAGCAGTTCAGCCTACTTTCCAAAGGTACCTAGACTTTGTAGCTGCAATTTGCCCGTCTATCTTCTTCTTTGGTTTTTAACAGATTAGTTTATTCTTATCAGCAAAAGTAACATCCAAACCTACTGTAAATAGGATTTTGAGGGAAATCCTATTGGATAAACATGCTGCTCCATTTGGAGGATTATATAATAATTTTCATTATAATTGCAGTTACAATAGCAGTTACCAGCTATAAATGATCTTCAAGAAACTGTTCTGCAAAGAAAAATTTGTCCAATAAGAAGCCAGGAAAAAGAGAAGTAGTCTTATGAGATTTTTTTCCCCCAATTTTCACAAGGTTTCTGTAACCTCAGCCATTAATATGCCACTTGACAGTCATTCATCCTTCTTCATTCGTTCTGCATCACTGCATACAGTAAATGTAAAAGTATGATATTTTCTTCTGAAATAATAAATTCTGGGCCCATTAATTATCCTGGCTGCCAACAGCAATCACATATATTGTTTACAGAACAGATTGACAAATCAGGGTTGAAATTAGGTATGGATTTAGAATTGTTTCATTCACATGCTAAGTACATATTATATCTCCTTATAAATGAATATTATTATCTTATTACTACCTACTTATGTTTGAAAATAGTATGTAATATGTAGTATGTAATATTTACAGTACATCAATTGGAACCCTACAAGATGAAACAATCAGATAGGCAAAGTGCCCCCGGTTCAAATGTATTAATTTATGTTTGAAAAAGACTACAACCCTTAAAAGTTTGTGGTAGATCAGGACTGATTGTGATCCATAAACTTAACTTCATCCTACCTTATCTTTCCTAATCTGTGTGTTTTAAATTTTAGTTGATTTTAAAATACCCTTTACATTGTATTCCCATATATAGTAATAATTTTGAGCCCTGGACATATAATTAATAATATTCTACCCAAACTTCAGATATGTTAAAGCTGTCAATTTTCTTGATCAGGAGAAATCTCCAACTCTTACAAACTTAGATGAACATGAATTCAACTTGTTCAACATCTTCTAACATTCTGCCATTACAATTAGTACAATAAAAATATGTGTATGCCAATATTGAACTAAATTAGACAATTTTATGGATTCAAAATAATTATGTGCTTTGATTAAGGCTTTTGGATGTAGACAATATTTGTAAAGTTGTAGTTATTATCAACCTCTAGATAGTGTGCAGTGGCCAGCAACAACAATATTTACATATTTTAAATTACATTTTAGGATTCTATTAAAAAAAACTTGCAACAAGGGCAAGAGGCATGCAATAACTAACGAGAATGATTGTTGTTGAAGCAACAATGGCTTGTCCTTCATTATTTTTTGTGTTATGGCTCATTTCCATTTCCTCTTCAATTATTTATTTTATTTTATTACTCAACTATTTTTAAGGTTGCTTTCTTACCTTAAAAATTTTACTTTGTGTTATGTAACATCCATGGAAAAGGTCTAGTTTTTTCTTTTCTTTCCAATGACATCTTTGGGAGACCTGAGAAAATAAACATAATTTATTATCAATTTTGTGTGCCCTGCCTCCCAATAAATGTCATTCTCTTGTTGGTTAACAATGACATTAAAATCTACACATTTAAAACAAGTAAAAGAGCAAAGCAGATAATGCAATCACACTACCAATCGAAAAAAGCTGCTAGCAATCGGAGGAAGGACATGAAATTAAAATGATGGTACTGATATTCCTCTTTTTATTTAAGGCTTTGCCCTATTTTGGGGAATGTTTGAAAACTAAATTATTAGTGTAACATATTGTTGATCAATTGGATTTTTATTGGTCCAAAACAGCTGTTCAAACACATTTGTATAGTAAACTAGAGATAACTTAAGTGTATAGATTTGTATGTTGTGTGTACATGAGCATGAATTCATATAGAGTCAATCCAAATAATCTTTTTCTGTGTGAAAATACAGACAAGATATAAAGTGGGTCCCTTTAAGGAAACTTTGCTCTTCTTATTTAATTTTAATGTATGAACTCTTGCCAGTAATTCAACTCATGAACTCTCAGCATGAGTTTGTCTAGGGCAAACTTCTTTAATCAGTCATGTCTGTGGTTTTATATCAACAACTTTAGTTTATAATTTTATCCATCAGTATCCCATCTGCTTTTTGTCCTCAGTAAATCATTTTTAATATCGACTCCTTTTCTAAAACATATTTATGTTATCTGTAAAGAAAAAGTCAACATCCAGAATTATCTTTTGATCATTCTTTTTGTAAATAATTTTCTTACTTTCTCTCTAGGGGCCAAATCCAACTAATATTTTCTTCTCCACAGGAACAATTTCTAAGCTTTAAGTAAAAACTTAAAGTCAAAAGCAGTCTCACTTAACCTTTAGACCATTACCGTAAAAAAATTATTCTTGAACTTCAAGGGTTTCTGAACTCTTAAACCTTATATTAAAACAGAACTTTTACAGAAAGATGGACTTAGAAAATATGTTCAAAAGCCATTGAAATGGACATTTCTTAAATATTTCAACTTGTCTAAAAATTTGCAACCATTACCTGTTTAGAAAGTTTAGAAATTTTTCTAAAAAGTCAAAGAGGAACATCAACATCATCATATTGAATATGCCAATCAATTCAATATAATACCTAGTATTTATTTCATTATTTTCCATCTTTCCTTTAAAATTCTTAAGAAAGGATCATCCCTCATTTTATACTCACAACCACAAATCTATGAGTTAGGTCGGGTTATTCAATTTCTCCCAGCCAAAGTCACCCAATTAATTCTATGATTGAGACTTGATATAAATCTTGAGTTTTATCAGGTCCTACAGTAAACTACAGTAAAAATTACTCTGCAATGGTTCTCAACACCTGCTGGAATAAACTCACTAATCTTAAGAAGTTCATAGAGATAATATTGATTCGCTTGATAAAAAGTCTTACTGTATTAATGTTTTAGTTCCATACCCATTTATCTGGGAATAAACCCTACTGAATTTAATGAAACTTCTGAAAAGTTACTGTTGTAAATTTCCATATTCTTTTGGGAGTAACATCCATTGTTCAATAGTGTTTATTTCTTAGTAGAAGTATATAATATTATACTGTAAATAAAATTATTTCTAATTGTTATATTAAACACCTGTTCTTTAAAAATGTTAATATTTTAATAATTCTGATATTAATATTATCAGAATTATTTGAATGATTTCCTTATTCCATAATCATAGCAGGGAAATTATGATTATCTACAAAATAGGATATTTAAACTCTTAGCTTGCAAAAATAGCAATGCATTAAATACTTAATATATATTCTAAGAACAAAATGCAAGAATAAAATGGTAATACAGATAGTCCTCAATTTACAACCACAATTAAGCCCAAAATTTATGTTGTTAAGTGAGATATTTGTTAAGTGAATGTTGTCCCAGTTTACAAAGTTTATGACCTTTCTTGCCACAGTTGTTAAGTGAATCACTGCAGTTGATAAGTTAGTAACCTGTTTGTTAAGTGAATCTGGCTTCCCCATTGACTTTGCTTCTCAGAAGGTTGCAAAAAGTGATCACATGACGTTGGAACACAGCAATGGTCATAAGTATGAACCAGTTGTCAAGTGGCTGAATTTTGATTACATAATCATGGGGATGCTTCAAAGGTCATAACTATGAAGAAAGGTCATATGTAACTTTTTTCAGTGCTGTTGTAACTTTGAACGGTCACTAAATGAACCGTTGTAATTTGAAGACTACCTGTAGAAAGCTAAAAGTTGCTTGGAAAGTTATTGAATCAGAATGTAATAATAAGAGTAGCATGTCCTCTATAGAATTGGATACAACATGCTTTCTAAGACAAAGAGAGGGGTGACTGTGGAGTGGAGAATAAATAAACAGAAATTGAGAAAATATTAATGTGTATTCTGATGGGTAGTCTTTTTTTCATTCTTCTTGCATTTTGTAATCAGTAATAAGACCATCACACACAAATTTGTCTTTTCACCAAAGGGAAAATAAACATTTGCTTTTTATGTAAGGTATAATGGCTTCCAACTAGAAATTAAATGAGATACAGATCCAGAGTTTCCTGGAGATTTTCAGACGAGAAGCTTGATAAGTTACAGGAATAGATAGGGATTCTACATTACTTACATTCAAATTAAATTTAACCATATTTTATCTGGAGCTACACATTAGATCTTGTTCCAAGCTGTCCTGAATGGTGAAACTAGATTGAGGATTGCTAAAAAAAATCTTCTCTCCTTGTGCCCGGTCTCCTTATTCTATCTACTTCCAACTTCAATTACCTTTTTAGTTAATCCTGATCCTCTATTTAGTTCCCATGCATTAAGGTAAGGCTATGCATTGAAATTCTTACATAACTATAGGTACAAAAAGAATGGGATTGTGAATACTGGCAGATGTTGGCAGATATCAGAGACCGACAACTGGTATTAAGAACTGGATTTATAAATCAAGGAATTTTCTTCTAATTGTACCAGCATAAAGAAAGGAAGCATGTAATTGGACAAATGTCTTTTTCCCTTTCTTTTTTTTAAACCCTATTTAGAGCACTCGGTACAAATCCTTTACATTGCGACTGCAGCCTGCGTTGGCTTTCAGAGTGGGTAAAGGCAGGCTACAAAGAGCCCGGCATTGCACGATGTAGTAGTCCAGATGACATGACCGACAGGCTTTTGCTAACAACACCAACTCAGCATTTCCAATGCAAAGGTAGGTATAATTCTTGGCCCTATGCTCTTAGATAGGAGACCATCAGGAAATTTCAGTAGAGATCTGAACTAGAAAAATAGACTTTTTAAAAAAATTGTGCAAGGCGGCAATTGCAACCCACTTTTCTACTACTTCTAATGGAAAAAACATGGACACATTGGACACGGCCTAAGAAAGGCTTTACTTTTGAGTGCAAAGAATTGAAATTTGAGAGTTAAAGAAGAGAGGTAAAGAATTAAAACTTGGTGATGACAGCGGGCCATGATTCAATCCTAATTTGCCTTCATAATCTCGAAACTAAACAGAAGCTACACACTTCTCTTCTGCCTAAAAATTCCCTGTTTCCAAAAACATTACTGCAATATACACATAGTGCTTTCTTTTAATTTTGCATTTCCATTGCCTTTAAATCTACTGTTTTCCTGTATATTAAAGGATTCTCTTTCCTTTCCAGTATTTGTGATGTTCCATTTTCTGCCCCACTGATCATTACAGAGCCACTCATATGCCTGTCAAAGATAATTATATTAAGGATCCAGGTGATCCATGAGAAAAGATTTGTGTGTGGGGGGAGGGGGGAATGACAAGCATGTATCTTCAACTCAGAATTTTACTGAAATTTATATCAAACTTACATCAAAATTGTTTTTTTCTGAAAATTGTGGATTTAAAAAATATATTCAAAGTGAATAAAGTTTACCATTCAAGTTCAATAGCGGTCATGTTTGAAATGTGTGGGATTTATTTTCTCTGCTTGACTCATTTTTAGTTTATTTATCTATTACACATTCAGTCATTCAGTCATTACAGGAGCAAAAGGTGATGTACATCATTCCCATTTCCCCATTGTGAGATAAAACAACTTTATCTCATGTCAGAACTTCATCTTGATAGAATGCTCCAAAAGATAGTACAGGGATGGCTTTGAAAGAAATGTGGCAATTCTTTGTAACACTTGAGCTTAACCCTTAGCATTTTCTTAAAACGGGAAAGTGTGGGGGTTTCTAGTGTTTCGTGACCCAGGCTACCTCAAAGGGCTGACATTTCTTTCTTTCATTCATTTTGCTTTTATAGCCTGATAAAATGAATCCTTCTTAAGATAATATTTTTTGCAAGTTAGCTTTGTTCCAGCACAGTGTTTGTACTTGAAGTGCACTAACTAAGGTCACTGATACATAATATAGTAGCAGCACTTAAACTTCCAAGAGAATATTTCTTTTTTTAAAAAAAAAATGTATTTATATACATGTGTTTATATGGACCATGCACCAAAGACTGAGTAATATTCTTGTATATGAGGCGATCTCTTGAAAATGTTTTAAATAGTTGTCAAACTTTTTCAGATGTATTCTTGTTTTATTGCAGGAGCTGTTGACATCAGCATTGTGTCCAAATGTAACCCTTGCCTTTCTACTCCCTGTAAAAATAATGCGACTTGCAACAATGATCCGGTGGATTTTTACCGATGTACTTGCCCATTTGGCTACAAGGTAGGATAACTGATAATAGATGGATTTCAGCATTGAATAGCAATAGCACTTATATAGTGCTTTACAGCCCTCTCTAAGCAGTTTACAGTCAGCGTATTTATTTTTATTTTTATTTTATTTTATTTTTTATTTATTTATTTTGTCAAGCATATATAAGATTACAGATATAAGTATAAACATGATTATGAATACATGAAATGGATACAAATAAATAGGGACATTAGGACAGGGATGGTAGGTATGTTGGTGCGCTTATGCACACCCCTTACAGACCTTTTTATTGCTCGCCAATAATCACATAACACAAGGGAAAAGATTGCACTGAAGAGAAATGAGTGTTGTTCGAGCTGCACAGTGAACAATTATACTATACGTGATCCTGCATCTCAAACACTTGTTTTTCTGAAGTGACTGTAGAGATCTTTACAAAGCAGAACAAAGTAGGTTCTATGCCTGTGTATGTTACATTTGTTATAATGTGTGCCTAAAGACAGTATAAGATTGAGAAGTGAAGTGGTTACAGATCACAAGGGCTGGAAAAGTAGAAGAAAAAAACCAGCATCAAAACCCAGGAGCACAAATACAAGGAACATTGTATGAAGCCAAGTAAGCTTGCCTCGATATCTGAAAAATATCTCTACAACTGTGCTATACGTTATTGAACAAAAGTGACTTTTGACAAGTTCAGATGTGAACATTATGAAAAGAGCATTCATTTTATATTAAGCTGTTCCCCACTAAAATATCATGCTAATTTGGTAACAATGCCTTTCTTCCTTCTCACCAGTCAGCTTCAAACATGGCTGTTCATCTGGAATCTATTACCTTGATAAATTACCCCAAACCTGTCCACTCAGCATTGTTATTCCTTGTTTGATGTAGATATGGAGTAAACTTTCTATGGAAAAGTTCACAGCAATATCAATAGGCTGTGGGAACCTTAATTCAAGTATGATTGGGCAAGACTGAGTTTTATTGAATACTCAATGGCAAGGCAATTCTATCTTTTTCTGAAACATATAATTTGATAACCACAGCAGGTCTTCAGTCACATGCATTACTACAAAGGAAATGATATGATTAAAACCAGAAAGATGACATAATTCAATAAGTTATGCTGGATAAAGTCATGAAACCTTAAATAGAGATTCCAGTTGTAGAAAGCAACTGATGCCAGCTGTACATCGAAAATGTATATGGGCATTCTTGCACCACGTAGCAATGATTTTAAAAAATGTTTTATCCATCCATCTACATTAAACCTACATGAATATACTCTTGGTAACCTTATTGAAAGCTGATTTTAAGGGCAGCAAAGAAAAATGTGGATTAGACAATTTTTCTCTTTGACTAAGATCTGGAAGCATTAGGAATTTGAGTCTAGAGGCTTTGTGAAATCAAAAATGTGCTCTTCCTCTATTAAAATAAGCTGTGTCTTTGCACATTTGTAAGAATTTTATTTATTAGAAGTATCATAGACATGAAAATAACTTTCAAAAGTATACAATCCACAGAAATTATAAAAGAGTATATATACAAAAATATATATGCAAATTCTTCTAAATTATAGAGAAAACCACCTTTCTCTTTGGTTTTTCTCCAGTATCATCTCTCCTGTACTTAACTGATTTTCCAGAGATGATTTTTTTTAACTGTGTAAGAAAGGAATGCTTTGGGATCTAGGATTGGGATATACCTTTTCTCAGTAAAGTTAAGAGATATCTTCATGGAACATGAAAACAAAAACGTTTCTTTTTTCAGTAGGAAGGAAAATTTTGTCATTCCCAGACTGATTCTCCTTAGTAGACTAAATCACAACCATCAGGCTGTGCCCCATAATGGGCCATGGCTGGTTTGGAAGTGAGCGGCAAGCCTGCATGCATTGCGTGCAGCTCAACTCACACGAGAGAGGGGCTGGTGTGCACACGTAGGCACAAGACCAATCTGCTCAAACTGACAGGTTGGGGACCAGTGTACTGTTGGTTTAAGGTGGGAGTTTTAAATTTGCTTGAGTGAAAAAAAAACTAAGGAAATAAAACCAGGGCTATGCATGATTCAAAAATATTTGGAAGACATACTTAAGAAGTCCACTCTTAAAATTAATGTAATTATTAAATCTATATATCCCCCTTGCCACCATTTTCTCCCCAGGCTCACTGGGAATCCTGAAAATAGTCTGGCTATTTTCATAAATAGCAGAGAAGTACTGTATTTGCATAAGATTTCCAAATAATTTCCAAGTGTGCACAGAGCTACTAAAATATCTCCCTCATGTCTTCTCTTTATATTTTTATTTTACTTTCCGTCTCTCATTCCAATCCCTTTCCTTATCTATACATCCTCTCTTAAAATTATAAATCATTCATTTGACTTTTTTCATCTATCTTAGAGAATATTGTTATGTCTGAGCTGGTATGAGAGAAACCTGATCCTAGTCTGCTCTCAGCAATGGTTGCTGACTAGGAATCTTTGGACCAGTCACTCTTTCTTAATCAAACCTTACTAAGCAAGTTATTGTTGTGGAGAAAATGGGAAGAGATATGTTATGTATGTTGCTTTGAGTTCTTGAGGCAACATACATAAGGCAGGGCATGAATCAGATAGATAAATAAATAAATAACAGTCTTTACTACCCAGGTTGCAATTTAGATATATGGACATTGATTTCCAGAGTTCTTAGCAATGACAATGCTTATTGGAGAATTCATAAAGAATAGTCTTTGTTTTTATGTACTTTTATTGATTGTAAAATAAAGTATATAATTGAACAGGGCTCTATGGTAAAGGAAGTAGAGAAAATATAGTAAGAGATATGAATATGCTTGCACCTTTAGCTACAATTTTATATTGTATATATTGTATATATACCAGGGTAAGCAGAGTCATCTTGGAGTAAAGACAATTTAACTAAAGGGGACCCTAACTTGGATAAAGTTGTATTTTTATATGCATGAAATTGTTGAAGGAAAAAATAAAGTTTTTGTCTGAATTATAAAAAAATGAACAACCAAAGCTCTTTGTCGGAATGGATTTGAATATTATAAAAGACAATGGGTTCATTTTATTTTACATCTGTATAGCAGTTCCATACCACATTTAATATGACTTCTGTGTATGGGCATTGACTAGCAAAATCTTTTCCTGTATTTCATTCGAAGAATCAGTCTGCGGACAATATGTTCCACAAGCATAGAAGCTCATCCTGTTAGAAAGAAATAATGCTTTCTGTTAGAAAGAAATAATGCTGTCCTTGGAAAAGAATAATGATGATTTAACTTTACAATAACTCTACAAAAAAATCAGTGTTGTGTGTTTTTTTTACAAACATACTTTGGAGAGGCAATTTTTCTAACTGATGTTGCTTTGCTGAGAGGTTGATTAACCCAACAGCCTAAGACCCAGTAAATGGCTGTATGCCTCTTTTCATATAAATGTTTATTGTTTTTATTAAATACTTTACAAGGACATAATATGGACCGCGTATTCAAAAATTGGATGATAAAATGCCTTTCACCATCCAATACCATAAGTACTCATGTATTTATTATCTTCTTGCTGTCTTGCACTGCTTGAGGGCAGGTTAAGAAAACAGAGTGAACTTTCCTGTCAGTAATAGAAAATGACTAATGTTTTCTGTTTTAACTTTTACTGATAGGGTCGAGATTGCAGCACACCTATTAATGCTTGCATTCAGAATCCATGCCAGAATGGGGGAACTTGCCATCCTACTGATACAAATCAAGACGGATTCAGGTAACGAACAACAAAGTGTGGTTAAAACCAAAACAATAGATAAAGCAACTTGTTTTCATTACTTTGATGCATCAAAGGCTACCATACAACACCACCCCAGAGAAATTAAACTGAAGCATGGTCTACACTGGCAAGTAAATCATTGGCCCAATCGCTTTGAATGAGAAAGCGATTCTCATTCAGGCACTTTACATCTTTCCTGTTTAAAACCGGAGGACTTAAAAGTATTTAACTTTGTCTTTACCAAGACCTTCATCTGAAACAAGGAATTATATTTGGGTCAGGGCTGAGTGGATTGTGTGAGTGCAGTCATCCCATTTTGATTCTAATGATGTGCTCTGGAGCATATGGGAGTGTGATGTAGCAGTTCTTTACAAGAGCTTGTAAGTCAAATCTTTTCAGAGCACAAAGCAATAATTTCAAAGATTTGCAGACAGGTGCTATATTAAACTGTTAATATATGCTTTACCTATTGCCACTTCTCTTATTAAATCCCTACAACTTCCAAGTTCAAACCATTCTCCTGTTCATTGTATATTGTTTAAAGTGGAATTTTTAAGGTAGCTTGCCCCAAAGAATCCAGTTGGATTCTAAGAGGTCTCAGAAGTATTTGGGCTGGTTCAACAAATGATTCTGTCAATTTCTGTTTGATACCTGGAGTAGGAGGGCTGACAAGGTTTTTCTAAATTGGATTTTCAACATACTTCAAAGATGATCCTATAATACATGAAAGAACTGCAGGTCCTGATTTGAATCTGATAAGGCACAGCTTTAAGTATGTGTGCAGGCTTATGCTATATTAATATGTGCATCAAAGCTGCAGCTTTTTTCTCTGCTTTTATTAAACCAACAGACTCAAGGCATACAGAATTATTTTAGATTTATTTACTTGTTTATTAAATAGATTTATAGGGCCACCTAACTTATACATGATGACTCCAGGCAGCATACACATTAAAAATTAACAAAATAAAAGCCCAGAATGCACACACACACACGTACGCACACACACAGAGAGAGAGAGAGAGACGCACACACACACACACACACACACACACACACACACACACACTATGGCAGCGACAAATGCAATTTTACAAGCGACTTGATCAGCTGCAAATCAACCTGGGATCCCCAAGCTCAATGACAAAACCGTATCTTCATGGCGTTCCAGAAGTGTAGCAAGGAGGGGATCAACCTTATTTCCAGAGGAATGATGTTCCAAAAGGAGGGAACCATTACAGTGAAGACCTTCTTCTAGATTCCATGAGGTGTACTTCCTTAATAGTTGGGACCTATAACATACCCAGCCTTTCCACTCTGGTGGCCAAGTAGATGTAACTTGGAAACACAGTTTGTCATATAATCTGGTCCCAAGTCATCCAGGGTTGTGAGCAGTCTAACTTGTACTTCTGTCTCCTCCTCCCAGAATTATTTTACAAAATCCTCAGAGGATTGTGATAACCCTTTATGTGAGGTTTTTGAGGAAAATACCTCTGGTGACCAATCCTGATGTCGCCTTTAATGAAAAGCCAACAATGAGTATATCTACTGACTCCTTGTATCCTCCTTAAATAGGATACATTTCAATATGTGATATCTGGGGATGTGGACAGATTACTGGAACAATATACTTCACCACTGGATCATTCTCAAAGGTGGCTCATAAGTTCTAGCCAGTAGAATATTAAAGATGCTATAGTTCACATCATACATCTTTGTCAGTCCTTCGAAGTTTCCAGACTAGGAAACCAAAGTTAAGAATGCCAATACTACATTTTTTATGAAGTTATAGTAACAGAATCTTGCAAGTCTGAATGCTCTTCCCTCCTCCATTATCTTTCAGAAATCTAGACAGGGTCAAGCCTGCCTGAAACACTTTCTCAGATTGTTTCTCAATTTAAAATTTCTTTTGCCTTACATTGTCTTGGTTCTGACTCTCCCTCCTGTTCCTCAAGGTTACTTTTACAGCCCGTTACAATCTCACTCTAAAAAATAGCAGAATGTATCCTTGTCTAAGGGTATCAGTTGTTAGTGCTCTTCTTAAGAAGCCTGCCTGGATCCCTCAAAGATGGGTGATTATGAGCCAGTCTGTAACTCCCATGCTTAGACAGGTAGCTGATAGGTGCTTTTCAACTGCAGGCAGACCTGCAGGAAGCAAATCCTTTTGACAATTTTAAAATGACTCCAATTAGGCTACATAATTGAGATTGCCTTGATTAGGTTGATGTATTATTTCTGTGTTGAGATTGACAGAGGGAGCACAGCCTATTGGTTCTTTTTTACCTCTCAGCTTCCTTTGATATCATTGCCTCGGAAGAAAGGCATAGTTTTGTAATGGTTCCATTATTCAGTCTCCAACACTTTAATTATCTACAAGAAACCACTGAAGGAGATCAGAAGTTTTGGAATTGTGTTCTATCAGTAAGCTGATGACATCAAGCTTTATTTTTCAGGAACCGGTGTGGCTCCTCTGAATGCCTGTCTGCAAACAGTAATAGGGTAAATGAGAGAAAAATTGAAATTGAATCCAGAGAAGGCAAAGAAGCTTATTATAAGGGTCTATAATTCAGGGGAGATGATAGATCAGCTGTTCTGAATGGGATTTCATCCTCCCTGAAGAAGACTTTTGGCTACAAATATCTCTTTGGTTTCCTAGATTGAAGAAATGATTAGGAACACCTTTTGTCAGCTTTAGTTGATTTGCCAACTTTACCCTTTCTGGAATATAATGATCTTAAAATTATGGTTCATGAACTGGTAACCTCCCAGGGTGACCACAGTAATGCATACTTGTGGTCTAATGAAGACACTTCTATTGATTAGGCCTAACTATTTTATTAACTTTTTTTAAAAAAAGCAATGTTTTGTTAGGGCTTTAACTGTTAATATTTATTCTAGTTATTTTACCTATTTGCTGTCACTGATATTTTATGGTTTTAGTATTTCTACTTTAAATTTGTAGTTAATCACTGAGATGGTGATCACCATACAACATACACACATTTCAAAACTCACAAAGGGAAGCATTCATATGCACATAAGTAATGCAGAAGAAAGTCCTCTAATTACCTCATAGACGAGGCTGTGAGAGTGGACACGTTTTTAAAAGGTGCTCTCTTATTGACAAGTTATTGCCCAGACATCCAGATTCATTAGGCTCCTATCTCAGGCCACTTTAATCAGTCCTTCACTCTTCCAGAGATTTATCCATTGGCAATTATCTGTCCATTTTACAGAGCTCTTCCATGTTCAGATCATCAATCTCATCTCAACAGAATACCATAGAGAACATTTATCTTGCTGCTTGCTAGCACCCTGATACTCATAGGGGCAAGTTAATAATTATCACCAACTGGGTGAACACAATTTGTGTAGAAATGAAAATCCCCTAAGACAAGGAGTCTAAGGTAATGCTACATCTAGGGCATGAGGAGAGGTTCCTTGCTAGCTGGTTGGTCACCACGTTATTAGTAACCCGAAACTATCTTGGCCTGCCAAATGCAACAGCATGACTTCAGAATTTTCCCTGCTCTTCTATCCATGAGTAGCAGATCATAGATTTTGCTGAGAGATGAACTTCTCCCGCTGTTGACTGCTAAGTCTTTATGATATGTGAAAAATCAATGTGTTCATCCAGAATAATCAGTATTTTATCACTAATGGATCTGGCATTGCAGGTCCACCATTGCTGTCAGTTTGACTTCCTTGTTCATGCTGCATCCAGAAAAGAACTGAGGCTAGTCATTGATCTGCTTACCTTTTCCTGAAATATAGAAATTTCTCCCTTCCACCATATTTTCATATCACTTCACCATTATCCAGGCTATTTTCTATATCCCTTGTCTATTTAGACAAGACCAGGGCAAGTAGTAATAACCTTTCTATCTCTCCATTTGCCCAAAGTTACCCTGTGGTAAGACAACCGCTCAATAAATTTTATAAATAAATATATAAATTTGCCTTTTTCTGGAAGCCATATAAATAGACAAAAAGCATGCTGCTTTCAATCCAAAGTCTCCACAACCAGCTTCAAATTCAACATTTTTGGTAGTGCTATCAAACTCTTAGTTTGGTATTCATTTTAAGTTCATTTTAAGCTTCAAGCCAGGAAGATAAGAAATCCTGGATTGATGGCCTGTGTCATGAATACATAATCTTATGGTTGATCCTGTAAGAAAGAAGTTTTTCATACATAAATAAACATCTAAACAGCTAGGCAAACAGAGATTGGAAGGAATACTTTCTGTCTCTCTTATATCAGTCGGAGCCAAGGGGTGGTCTTATTCTCAGCATCCAATTACAAAGAATGCTGGTATTCTATTTCTCATGTAGTTCATTTCTTTTTCCATTGTGCTTCAAAATGAATCAAATCTTAGGGGATAATCCATAAGTAACATTGATGCGCATGAAATGTTATATGGAAGCCGTCTTTGGAATGTTCTGTTGTTATGGCCTGTGAAAGAAATTATATTTTCTATATATCTTTCTCTCTCCCAGTGAAACATATTAATACACATGCTCAGCTGCCAAACTTGTCAAATCTTTGCTTTTATAAATTTAAGACAAAGCTATTCTCCCATATGAAATGCCAAGTGATTTAACTTGAAGGATTCTGTAATCACAGACAAGAAAAATTATCTTCTAAATAATAGCAGAGTGGTGACATAAGCCAGGAAATTTACTCTGTTTTGACTGGAACTCCATTCTGATACCCTTCCTGTTCATGCTGTGCATAAAAGGCCCAAACAGCAGGTAATACTGCTTTTCATATTTGTTGTTGTAACATGCTGCTACAACGGTGTCACTAAAAGGCGTGGGATCAGGTGAAAATCTTAAAAAGTATGCCTTTCTTTGACCTTAAATAAGGATGATTACTCCGGAAAGAAATGGAACAATTATTTATGGGGCTTATTAAGATACCTAATTTTTAAAAAAAACATTAGTTCATAAAATTCTTAGCTTGCATTGTCTATATAATAATGCTCAGAATATGGGTA